GTTAGGTATTCGCACTTGAGATCGAAGGTACTGCGTTCGGGCCCCACATGTGGGATCGTGGATATGCACTTCTGTGGAGTCCCGTACTAGGGCGAAACAGCCGTCCAGTGCTTCCAGGTTCGCAACAGTTGTCTAGCTTAGATTTACTCATGAATTCAACGGCTAAGATTTTTTATTAAGTACACTTTCATACCTGTTCCAGTATCCTGGTATGATAAGATAAATTTTCAAATTACTCCCCATAAAATGTACACTAAATCGTAATGCAAATTACAATATGAACTGTGTAATTACGATGTTTAATTTACAATTTATCAGAAAGGGGTTTTGTGGAGATTATAGTAATTTAATAGTTGAGTTCATGAATCAGCTGAAGTTAGACCATCATGGAAAACCTGAATGCATTGGACGACCGTTTCGTCCTAGTATAGGACTCCTCAGCACTCGCGCGCAAGGCCGAAGGTGCTAGATTCGAGTCCCACGTGCGGGATCGTGGATACACACTGCTACGGAGTCCCATATTAGGACGAAACAGCCGTTCAATGCTTCCAGGTTTTCCACGATGGTCTAGCTTTAAATAGTTATAAAGTTTCGTTACATTTTTATGATATTTGAAAAAAGGTTATTTATAAGTATCAAGAAGTTATTTGTAATCTGTTATCTAAGATGGTTTAGTTTATATTAGTGAAACTGTAATGAACTTGAGTAGAACTAAATAATAAATAATCAGATTTTATCAAATGATATATCAATGCAACTATGATTTCTAATAGCAATTGTATAGAAATATAGTTAAATATAGAAAAATGATAACTGTAAGGTGTCGCAAGGCTATTTATATATTTATTTTAACACATAGATATTGGTACACGGAAGCACCAAATACATATGCGCCACATAGATCTCATTTGATATCCATGAGGGCTGTGATACTTCTCGGGTGTCCAAACCGAAGCAGGTTAAGAAATTCAATAATATGGCCTAATGTATGTATATAATTATGGAATTTCATTTCTCATTTTCTGATGAATAAAATTATTCACCAACATTGTAGTATAAGTATAATCTTTGAATGCAATTAACCTATAACAAGTTAATACCTCGTTAAAATTGATCGATTCTAGTCTATTTGTTAAGGAATATAACATTTCTGTTAAGATCTAAACTAGATTAATTATTCAAAAATAGTTTGCTTTTTTACATACTATTCCTTACCACTCATTCCAAATATGATTACGGACGTAATAAGTTATACATAATTAAAATAAGTTTTAACATCAGAATTCAGTTATGAACATTTCTCATATGACTGTGTTAATGTTAACAAAGTCGCTTTCCATATCGAGATCTTTGTTTACTGCTTCAAGGTATAACAGAATCTTTAATTAGTTAATAATACTAGATACTGAAAGCTGATCTCATCCATTATTTGCATCTAATAAGTGATCAATGTTTTAGTTTAAATTCATATTTGAAAATTATCAAAACAAACCATTTGGTTATTGTTTCTTTAGTAAATTCGCTATTCAATTAATTCAATGTTTTTGACAAATTTGGTTGTACAGAATAAATCTGTAATATGCATATTTAAAGAGTAGTTACACAAATAGCTTATGCATATAATCTGTTTATCTTACCATCCCAAGTTTAATTATTCATCTAAATGTGACGTTTTAAGGTCCAAGAAATAGGATAACATATTCATAAACTTTCTAAACTGTATCAAACTTAATAATCACCAGTACATGTTCGCATGAGAAAATCATATTTGTAATAAGAGATCAAGTTAAAACATTATTCAACTTCATAGTTAAAAGTGATTACTGTAATAGAAGGATTTGTTGAACATCCTATAACTGAAATATCAAGGCACTACATCACTGGAAATTTGAATTATTGACAAATGCATATGGAATTAGTAAACAAAGAGAATAAGCTACTGAGATAACCAACTTAAGTAAATTTTTGTCTCGGAAAATTTCAAAGTTGATCTATGCACGTTTCTTTTTCAGAAAATAATTTTCTTACAAATAACAAATCTCCATCACTGAGTATAAAATATCCGTTTCCAGATAAAAAGTGGATGCAATTATACTGCTTAAAATGGTTTACATTCACTTAGAATAATTAAAGTTTTATGCAAGAAAAGTAATTCACAGATAAAAGTTAGTAGGATGTCTGACTAATCCATTAGTCAAGAGGCAAACTAGGTAAGCATTGAGTTCATTAATATGTCCTTCTGAGATCTGTAAGCAAACACTGAAGTAAAAAATCTGATAATATAACATTATGAATGGTTGATTTTTATATCTTAAACCAATTTTATAAGCATATTACGTCACAGAACTCCATGCCCAAAATGAGCATTATTATGTTATATGGAAACATTAGCCAAGTCTTTCTTGAACGATTTCCAAGTTTATTGTGTTTCACCTTCCCCATTTCGTATCAAAGTAATAAAGCAGTAGAGTAGAAGCACAATAGTCGGGAGCCGAGTTTAGGAAGACACTAAGAAAATAAGACTTAAAAACGTTATCGCTTGAAGTAAAAACAGGTCTGACGTCTCCGTAATGAAACTTAGACAAGGCTGCTAAGCGAAACACCGGAGTTATCTTAATTTCACCCCCAAGACTTTCACATAAATTAAGGCAAAACAGAAACTCCATATTTTTAATTATTAAACTTACTACTAGCTAGTAGTTACAAATATTAGTCGGAATATTCCGCCTACTCAGTTTTGGGTGCTTTTGTACTCTGGTTCTCTATGTTATTTTCTGACGAAAAAACCTAACATCATTGTATACTTCTTAAGATGTGCAACCTCACAAAAAAGTTTAGTTTGTTCGGGATTTCGCTTAGGAAACAAGTTTTAGTAAATAAACAGTCAAACAGACACAGTTTTAGCTACATAGTTATAGGGAAGCTTTTGAACAAAATAAAATGAATGAAACCTAAAACATCCTGAATGATAACTATTTGGTTTTGTCTGAGATTTTTCACCATGCATTTGTTAATTAACGCTGATGTTGCAAAGAAATGAAAGATCTAAAATGTGAAGAGTTGTCTGTCATATATGGTATTGTACATTTTGGATAAGAACTGAGAAAGGAATCGAGAAAAATCATCCTGTTATACTCTGACGAAACTAGAGATAAAAAATTGGAAATGATAGCACACCATCAGGACAGAAATACCATTTCTGTTTGATTACCGTCAATTTGTCCAAACTCGACTATAAAATGACTGACAGAAGTGTGAGATTCCGTAAAGTAAACATCAACCCGAATAGGTTGCTTTAGAAACGAAATAACAATGAATGATCCTCAAAAACGGCAAAACAACCTACTGCAATGTTTTTTTTTCATTTATGATTTACAAGCCTACAGAAACGAAGGTTTGAAAAGAAAATGACGCGTTTTGAAATCAATCAACATGGTAAGCGAACTAACACTTCGAAAATGTACTTGCGATCGTAATCAGGTAACTAAATGATCTTTTAGAAAGATTTGATATTTCACCATCCTAAACAGGCCACTGATTTATCTTTCTTCAAAAAGGGTATAAGGTAAACGAAAATCAGCTGGCTACATATCCATAATACCTTACATCTATTAAGATCGATTTTCAACATACAATACAAATTGTCTTTGAAGGAAATAAACCAAGTATTTTGTCGAGTATTGAAGTTGTGGTAGCTGTTATTTATCCAAAGAAGTCAATTTGAACAATCTGCTGACATCGTGAAAATACGTTTAACGACATCGTTCAGTTAGCTTATACTTATACATTAATCTAAAACCCTTAAATCAGTTAACATTGTTAGTCATGGAAGCATGTAATTTAGGAAAGTTGTGGTAATGGATTATCTATTGATCCATAAGCACAAGATGTGCAAAATCTCAAGCAGTATGTTGACAAGTTATTTGATATATTTAGATGGAACTCCCAATACAAGGCAACTATGATCTTTATACGTACTGCCCATTTTCAACTCAAGTGGAAAAGGAAGAACTCTAATGTGAACTCATGATTTATTCTTTTTTAGAACTTACTAAAATATTTCTTTAATCCCTGCATATGTTGATCACTTGGTTATAGCTTTTGACACTGATTTTTGTGTACTATATCCTGAATACATAAAAACAATCAATCTGTTATCAGGATTTCTATGTTCTAGAACAACCTGAATACAATTCATCAATTCAAATGCTTCAGTTGATTTCCTGAGCAGTCAAACAAAACAAATGTTGTTCCGAGGACAAGTGGTGAGAGGAAACTGTGGGTAATCTACTGTGAGTAGATAAATGATTCATCAATACAATTTCACGACCTACATATCCCTGTCTCGGTTAAAAATATGTCGGGAACTGTAAATTTACAAACACTTGATTTTAGAAATCAAATACTGAAGTTACATATGGATTCAAAGTGAGTTTTGATCGTTAACTTTTAGTGCGATCCCATTTGCATTGATTTAATCCGTATAAAATTAATCCAGTGTTTCAAGTCATTTCATTGTTCTAGTCATTACTTAAGCTATTTTGCATTTAAGTGATGGCTCCCAAGACCTTAAGTTCCGCGATTAATAACCATTAAAAGCAATCGATGTGCAATTGAACTACTGTGAATACACATCGCCCTTCTTCGGCCTAAGATTTGCTAGTCGGAGTAGGTGGGGCTGAAAGAGAACAGAACCATTGTATATGGTATCGGAGTTACCGTTAGAGAAATCGCTGCTATCCTGCAAACGTATCACATGTAACCTATATTTTCCCATAAATTTTGAGCAAATTATTCAGCTTTTAGCAGTGAAGATCACACGTAGTCTTGATTCTCTTTATCATCGCAGGTTAGTCAGGCGTCAAGTTCGAAATTAGTGATAGAATCGAGCTACAGGACACATCTTCAAAAGACCCTTATCACAACAGAAGAATAAACTAATATCAATATGCTAGACTCCAGCTAGTTTGGTATTCAAAAGACAAACTTCATCATAAATTCGGGAGAATTATTCTGCCGTTACTTCACTTGATCGTGTTAGGACATAAACGTTGCAAATGTAATCAAGAAGCAAAGAATATACTTCAAAACAAATCAGATTTCCGTTCGGTAATACGTACGAAATTCAAAGGGTGAAAATCTATATTACCCAATTAGAACATAGAATCCTCGAACATGCATTCAATAGCCTCTATTACGTACTCACACCACGTATCTAAACGTATATTTCAGTTTTAATAAAATACAATGCGACTGTACCCTCAAGTGTCAGAATAGTTACACAGAAAAATAACAAAATGAATAATGTACAATGTCTATTACTACATAATGATAATTGTGAAGAAAAACTCATTGATTATTATGAAATGCCAGTATGATTCTCTTCTGACATTTCAACACACATTTCACCTGAACCAATTCCAGTAAAACAATCCTCTGTGACTAATCCCAACAATTTACGTTGATTCATTAAAGCATTCGCTAGTGCAGAACATTGTAGAAACTTATTATCTGGTGCGTTTTTTGACTGTGAAACATTTTTCAATACAATTGGGTCAGAACAATTTGAAATTCTATAATTTTCATGTACATTAGTAGGTGACAGCTGAAGAAAGATTGAATTTCTTTTTAAAACATTACATTTTAAATTTCGACGTCCAGTACGGGACTTTTTGAAATATTCGCATGATGAATTACACAAAGGAGTTGGGAAAAATTCTAGTAGTTTATCATCCATAGAAGCAAAGTTGCTTTCATTTGTATCAAGTGAATTGGATAATACAAACTGAGTCTAAACATTAAAGAAAAAGCGATCAGATAATAAATAAGATCTAAGAAAATGACCTTTTTATTTACGTATTAAAATATAAGCGGGTAAAAATTCGAAAGTCAGTGAGAAACGCTTAAGCATTGATGTAGTCTACTAATTCATAGTAGTAATTAGAATATCATTGTCACTAATTCATGAACATTTTAGTGTGATAGAACATCATCAGTAGGACTTTTGAGATTAAAGTGAAGTAACAAAAATCACTTCTGAAAAAAGTGAAAATCTATAAAACTTATTTTAAGAATATATATCAAGCTGAGCATGGAAAAGTAGATTTAATGTAGGCTGTTAAACAGCTGACTATAGACTGGAAGTCTTCTGTACGGATGACTAGCACCATAAATTACAGACGAGGTTTATATGACGTTTATGACATGTAGCTATTAAAATATCGAAAACTGAATGGACATTGGAGGCTCCAACAGGAAAAAATTTCTTAGAAAGAACTAAGTTAATATCACCATTAACATCCAACTTATTTATCAAACTTAATTCTATATACTCGACTGCTTTTTACACAGTTTGTGTGAAGTTTAGCTAAAGTAACCTGCTTTTCAAAACAAAGTAGACGGAGCAACTTAGTAGTCGAAATTACAGCGCATTAATCAATAACCTACTGTTCCACAAAGGACAAGGCATACCAATCACTGGATTGAGCTAAAAAATAAAGTGCACTCAAACAGACTATCACTGGCATATTATAAAATAAATTTTATGTTTTAATTAGAGTTTGAAAATAGTCAATTGATAAACATTCTTCAGAGACAATGATGGTCGAACAGGGTAGCCGTACATCCTTATCTTGAATGAGGGCATGTTCTGTAGACAAAAAACTGCTCTTACCGACACGTTGTTAACTCGGCATTTTAAAGTCAGACTAACATGCCGATGGCTAAGAAAATACTTCATACTCCTATAAGCCACTTTGGCTTGTATAAGAGAAAGACTACTACTTACATGTGAGATGTTTTCAAAACACAAAAATTTGAAAAAATTATACTACAACAGAATAGAGAAAAAAATTCAAAAAAAACATTTGTAAGTCTTACTTGAAGCTCCTTTTCAGAACTGAGGCTGACCCTGTCAGTGGATAGACTCAGCATTTCGTTATCAGGACACTCTATTTGCAATCGTCGTTTTAAAGCACATTCCTCACGCTCCTGCATAATCACTCGACGGTGAGATATTACATTTTTAAGTTCTTTCAGTACAGCAACATGCATACCTGATGATGGGTTCTAAACAGGAGAGAAGGTAAAGCTTTTGTGAAATGAATTTCCCGGATGAAACATTATCAGTCTTGAGCCTAATATCATTCTGGACTTTAAAGTTTTCAGCTTGATTACTTCCTTTTAAAGACGTTTTGTTTGGTTTGGCGCTACCATTAGTATTACACTTCTCTACTCATTTGTTGACCGAGTTAAATTCCTGTCATTGTGTTGATGTGATATGTGAGAAAGCAGATCGACCTATATCTGCCACCGATCCCGCGTTGAGTATGCCCATATTTGCTGTTTTTGTATTGATAACCCCAACCAACCAGGTCATGTTTAAACTATTTGTTTCAAATTAGATGATATTACTGAATTTGGTGTTTAGATTAACGTGTTTCATGATGGTATAACTCAAAATATATTCTCAGTGAAGTTACGATCATGGCAGATATCAAGATTTAATAACGACACCATGATTTGTGATGCAGGTAATTTAATATTAGAGTAATTATAGATGTCTCAAAGTATTATTTAGGCCTTTCAAACACTTATTTAACAAATTTAAATCCCTGAGACCTAGTCGAAATAACTAGTTTTCACAAACATGATCTTAACTATGTAATAAACATTATGAATTTAATAAGAACAGGCTTATGTATCAAGGCTACTAATGCTACGCGTATGCCCAAGCCAATATGTAGTAGAAATCGAACTTGTAACCTATCACTTAAAAGATAAATGGTCTAACCACTAAGCCGCCAGTTCAACTTAATTACTTCCAAAACCATACGACAATGGTTATAACACATACCTTTAGCGAATTTACGCAATCAACATTTTCGTACTCCGCTTCAGATTCACGACTAGAGGAGTCTCCAACAGCTATATCTTCTAATACCTAGGTATTCACAAAGCACCATGTGATAAAAAGAAAATCTATTAGAAAATATTTCACAATACAGAACATAAACTCATGAGAAAATTGCTGGGAGAAAATCAATGAGAAGCAGAAACAATGGATTATTTTACTCAACCAGTAGTTTCACAAAAAATGACTGGCGAGAATTTGGTAAATTTCAAAGTAAATACTATTACAAACCGATGATTAATTGACAACCATATAAAACCAAAAAGCAGTAAAAAGAATTTGCGTTCTAGTTAGTAATAGGAACTCAAGACCCTTAACAAAATTAGATCAAGGATATCATGGCCTGTAGTAATTTTCGAATTTACTAAATTTCAACTATTGATCTAATCGATTAGTAATTTACCTCTCGTTGGCCGTGTAACAGACAGTCAAGATCCAAGTTAAGGCATGCTGACAATACTACTTGGTCATTATGCCATAGTGTCAAACTAACTCAGGTTCAAATATTTGAATTTTCGACTTGGTGATAGTATTGTATAGAGCTTGCCATGATAAGAGTTGGCTAATTTCAACCCGAAGGCGGTAGATGTATAGCATTAAAAAGTCTCAAACTTGATTAAGGCAACTACTGAGTGCTACTTAATCCTCAACTGATTTTCAGAGTACTTTAAGTAAATGTTGGTTAAGTAATGCATTATTTTGGTATCCGACGTTAACTGGCAGTTAAACTGTACCTCAAAATTATGTAGGCGTTTTAATGTTTTAAAACTACTTACTAACCAATCATCAAAATTTTAATTCCAGTTTCCTCTTAACATTTTAACATAAAGAGAAAATCAAATAGTCTTGTCGTTTGCCACGAAACGATAAAATAATATTCTAGGCATAAGATTATTGGAGCATGTCAAATATATATACATGATTCACGACCAATGATTGAGAGCTAGACAGTAGTTGCCTTAGTATAAATGCAAGCTGTCTACATATGGTGAAACCCAAAATAGAAAGGAATCCAAAATGTTCAGTAGTGTCCCATAGATTCACCGCAGCTGGGTGTCTGCTCATCTCTATTTGCTGGCCAATCACATATTAGTTTTAATGGCCATACGTTATATTTTAACTTGTGTGTTCATATTCCTTGTAATTAAATTTCTCTGTAATGTGGAAATCGCAAGTCAAAATTCAATCAAAACCCTGTGTTTTTCTAGTCAGTGATGACAATGCTCGAACAATCTTTTAATTTTCAACATATCATGAAGAAAACAGAACCACAGGCCGAAAATTTCACCAGGGAACATCAAGTACCTGATCAGAGTAAACACTTCTTAACCGTAGTGAAAGAATACACCAACCTATTGCAAATTAGTAACGGAAAAGTATTTGACTACTATATATACACTTAAGTAAATAAGAGTGATTTTCAAATAGCTGGTGAAAAGTTGGATTTTTTACAGTCCCTTAGAAAATGATGTGAATATAGTTTTGAACAAATGTTCTTTTCCATAAGCATACTACTGTTATTTGACGTGGTTACAAATTCCAAGTTACATTTTTATCAAGCCAAATACCTACACTGAGTATTGCTTAGACATAAAATTTTAGTGACTTTTGATCCGTGAAAATCACAAAGTTAAGAATGAATGAAGATTTTCATTTAAAATATATTTCTACTTCAGCACCAGCCAGACAGGTAAAGCAGTAATTTTATGTCGGACAAACTTTTTTAAATTAATTTGTTCTCCAATCTATGATTTACGAAGCTATGAGCAAAACACAATAGCTAATGTCAATCAATTAGATAACAGAAAGTATACATGATGAAGTTTTTATACTGAGACCACATAACTAGATCATTCTCATAGTTAGCTAATTAATACAACTATTACACATTATAATTCAAACTAAGAACTTATGATTAAGTACATTTGTGCAAGTACTCAAAAACATTTTGTTACATACATCATCCTCTACAATTGGATCCACAGCTTTCAGAACATCTTTACTAGATGAAATCCCATCTCGGCAATATAGGAAGTCAACAGTAGTTTCTATATTTTCTTTTGAAATATCAACACTGTCTGCAGTTTGAACATTATCCAATTCATTCAAAAAAATCAGGGATGCATTCAATTGACAACGTATGAGACTAACTAAATTGGAAAAGGTTTCATTCGAAACAAATGACGTATTACAATTTTGTTCAACATAGGACTTCAAATTGTTGGCACTATGGAAATAAAGAATAAATTAGATATTCGTAGCTTGTTTTTTTCCTTAAAATATTCAATATATCAGAAGACAATTTTAGAAGTTGCAGTACACGCAGACAGAAACAAAACAAAACTAAGTATCTTTACTACATCACTATAAATCTTGGATATATAACGTTGCATTCAGTCTGAATGTAAATTAATTTTTATTATTATCTGTTTTTTTATGAGTAAAAGATATTAATGCTGAATTTTTTACTATAAGGTGATGTCAACTATAAAGTAAATGATTCTGGTTCGAGTTCAAAAAGCATTAAGTTTATATTCAAAACCCTTGAAATACGTTACGGGTGAATATACTAACAAGTAAGAAACATATGTCACGCCGATTACTACCGATTACTTTAAGATGAATGATGAAAATCCAACTTACCTATTTACTTTGTCATATTTATTTAGATCGAAGTCAATAATTAGCGCAAACGCTAAGACACATTTGTTCTATACCAGTATAAATTAAGTTACTGAAAGCTGCGAATCGCTGTCGGATATTAGCGTTCCATATCCGACAAGTCCATAGAGTAGTTCGCGTCCAACAAACTAATCTTATAGTACATTCTATCAAGCATCAGCCTGGTTATCAAAAGGCTGATGGTTTGAATCAACCTATAATTCAAATTTCTGTCCAACTTCAACTACCACATGCACAAAATTTCAAAAACCTAACAAAAGCTACTTCATGTATTTTTCTATTTCTGCGGCTCAAAGCAATCTGTATGTCTAAATACCTAGTTATCTATGCCTTGCCGAATAGTTTAAAGAAAAATGGAGACCGAAAATGGGGAAAAATCACCCCTCACGTATAAATAAAAACTGAATGGAGTATTATGATGTAATTTATCAACCAAGTATACGTTTTTGCATTTGGTTATAGGACGTACCTTGTTTTTTATGAGGGATAGTAATACAAAACGGGTTGTCGAAATCGAAGCAGAGTAAGCTGGATTCAAATATGTAGTTCATCGGTTGACAGTCGAGTGTCTTAATCACTAAATCGTTGCCTCATTGCAATAACATACTCAGATAAAAGAAAACACTATTCATGAAATCAAAGGTCAGTCAGTCATAGGTAGCGTAAATCTAAACATGATATCGAAATGAGTAACAGAAGAGGAAAATAATACACGACTAGTCAAAACGAAAAGTATACAATACGGAGGAATAACTGAAACAAACATTATCATACAAAACACGTAGAATGCACAACTTACTGTTCCAATGAAACAAGAAGATGCAACAATAATTCGTGAGTTATTCGAGCCTCTGTTCGTTTATAGAGATTTTTGACTTCATTTTCTCCAGATACACATTCTTTTGCAGTTCGAGCATCATTATGTATGAGCTTGCCATTTAAAATCATTGAATGCAATTCATTCAGTTTATTGAATTCATTCTTTATTCTAGTCAAAAAGTAGTCCCATTTCCATACCGACATAATCAATCGTACTAAAAAACGAAAAGAAACAGAATCAATATTATTAAGTCCTATATTGTGGTGTAACTCATATACCAAGCACAGATTTGTGTACTCAACTTTAAGTCATACAGTTTATGTAAACGCTATAACAGTATTACCCGGCTCCTCAAACGGAATTAAATAAGTAGTCATTCGTATCTTTAACCTACTGGTGGAAAGCGAAATGGACTAACCACCACTTCCTGCTTAAACGATACACTGAACAGTTAATTTGTTAAAAGACATATTAATCAATTACATGTTTGTATACCGAGTTCTGATATACTATCTAACTTTACATGGAAGAATGGATGCATTGGCATTTGGACGAATAATTTAACATTGTTTTACCAGCACTTACTCCATCTCCCTAGCATTTTAACAAAACTTAGAAAAGTCTACTATATACCTTGTAATAAATTTGTCATGTTCAAAATTAGTGCGAACGTATTTGAAGACGTCATATTAAACACATAATATAGCCTACTGATGAATAATGCTTCATCTCTCAATAAGTCAAATAGCACAGGAATTTCTCATATTGCGGAACCTGTTATTTTTTTACTTTTATAGCTAACATTGGAATAATCCCTAAGATTTTAGCGCATTAGAAGATTAACAAGTGGTAAACATTAATTTCTATTCGGGATGACTGGATTCAATTACTTAATACCTTACAAATTTCATGATGCACGCTGACCGATATTTTTTATGCGCATATTGAAACGAAACCTTAAATTTTAATCACCCAGCAAAATGTAAGAATATGAATTTATTTCGATAGTAATTTGTGATTGATCAGCGTTTTACACAAACTACCAATAAATACATACAAATGATGAACATACATAGGTGAAAAGTACCCCGTCTTGATTGGCAAAACGAGAATGACAATTTGACTAAGAGATCAGATGTTAACAGTTTTAACAGTTCACAAAACATCTGAAAGCAAGAACAAGATAAAAAATAACCGAAGAGAAAAACAAACTCGTAGATTCTCGATGCTTGGGTCTTTAGGCTTTTCTTCTATGTCACATTTTAATTGAATCAGTTCTGAAGTTGACATCTCCAATGGTATCTCAGAATTATTTTCATCAATTAAGTCTATTAAAACAAAATCATATAGTACAACAATAACAATAACATATTCTGACCTACTTCCCAATTTAACAGAAAAATCAATCAATCCTATAAGGTAAGCGCGCATAAAGTTGTACGCCTGATGGTATATTAGTGGGAAAATTTTAAATGTATTTTTATCTACAATTCTGTATTAGGTTGTCAGTAATTTAAAAATGCATACTTGGGACCGAAATAACGGCGGGTATTGAGATCTTGTAAGAAAAGAATGATAAGATGAGATCTGTGAGAGAATTTTTTCATTTGCTTCAATGAGTCTGCAAGATGATATTTAGATACCACTAAAAATAGTACATTGGACATCCGTAAACATAAAATAACGAGTAAGAATATAAAAATCATTTGAGTAGAGTAACTCAATCCGAATCCACAAAGAATTGAAAACACCGCAAAACAACATCTAGAACTTTTTAATCAGAATATTTCAACTTCACTTGCTACCTGGAGTCGACTTGGTCGTTATTTCTCACCGAGTATATGTATTCAACCACTGGTTTATTCTCAACAGTAATTAGATCACTGTACTTTATTAGGCTAATTATCTGAAGTAAAAGATACCTTGTAAGCTGACAAATATAAGCTAATAACAATAATTTACTGGTAAATCGAGGCCGAAATATAATGTAAAATCAAAAGGATTTATGCATTTGAAGTAAGATAAGATATGCGCAAACTTTTTCATCAGAAAGGTAGTAGTGGTGATGAAAGTAGGCCTTTTGGAGATTTCGCAAGTAGCAACATCCGGAACTCCGATTTCTCGAAAGTATTGTTGTAATGGATGGTTCTAAGAGAAAATAACTTCAAATTTAATTTACTTCTGGTAAGTACGTATCTTCTTCCATGTCTGATTTATATCATGTACACCTCTATAAAAGTGGAAAATCACAAAAATGACCGTAATTTGATGTAGTTGGTTCAACCAAAGTAATCGAGTGTAATGATCTGTAAAAAACGACAATAGTTCATACGAATAATATTTAACATGATAACAAGGATTAATTTGACAAACAGAAACTAAAACAGACCCAAATACTTTTAAAAACTGGAGGTGGTATGATTACAAACAATGTCAGCCGCAAGTAGAAAACAAAGCAGTTATGACAAAAAAGAACTGAAGTACCAAAAATATGACATGGCCAGTGAACGTCTAAATAATGCTGCATTCATTATATATGGCAAAAAACATAACTATTAGAACTCCAACAATTAAGTTGCTAATCACAGGTATTTGCTATCTCACAAATCACAGTTTAGAAATACTTCATTCTAGGAAATTAACAGGCTTCCAGGGACTCAAAATAATTATGCTACATTGTAGTTATCATTCGCGCATTTACTAACTATATTTTGAATAAAGCCGAAATAATTAACTTTCCATTTTACTATGAAAAGCGTAACGTACAAGCGCAACTACACTAATGAGTAACTTTGACGCATAAGGAGAAAATTTGTACCAAAAAGAAAGTTACGGTCGAGATATCTTCCGAGTCATGTACTGATAGACTAATAGGGGTAACTATTTCAGACATATTGGTTTCAATTACTTGTTCTTGGTCGTCACCAGAAGGACGTTTATGTCAATCGAGTAGTGAACATAGATAAAATAATCAGTTATGTTTCCAAATACTTTATGTAACTGGTTTCATATGGTTTTACTTCTCTCATTACGCAATCAGACTGATCATAATGCTTTAAAAGAGACATGTTGGGCGAAGACTTCAAAAGAGTACAAAAAGTTGAAAGATCCTATGTTTACAATGATTTAAAATCATTAGTTTATAACAGGGACTTCAAAATGACCATAAGTAAAAGCTTCTGCCCGATACAATAAAACAGGAATAAAGAAGTAAAACCTTAGCCATTCAACTAACAAGCCAAAAGTAAGAATTCACCAAATGATTATTACATAACTCATTCATCTGTTTGATAACTACCTGTGGGATCAGTAGTATGTCAATGAAATTATAAAATGAAAACTCAACAACCAATTATCATCACATGAATCAGACATAGTCAGAGAAAAGTGCAAAATCCATTGATACATATTAAAGTAAATTATTTGTCTAGCTCCTGTTGTAGGACTAAGCGAACTAATCCTGTATCGAGTCCGGGAACTGTATGTAGTTGCAGTTTCACTAGATACTACGGATTCACGAAATGAAATCAAGTGCAAATCACTCACAATTTCAAGAGTCCAATACGACCTATGCTGTAACTTTAAGTAGCTGCCAAGAAGTGTTTGGTGAAATGAAGTATCAGTACGTGTAGTGTCAATGTACTTTCGTAATCTCGTGTCCTACTCGAGGTGCCAGACTGTGTAATAAGGGGGAAATTTATGTTTTTTGAATATTTTTTCATTTTGTGTGAACACTCAAGCCGTCTAAAATATGAGTACGATACACCACTGACAGATGTGAACCAGTATCTCCCAAAACCGTATACAACTACCTGCCTAATGGATACTTGGATTCAGCGTGACCTACCTTTTATTGCATTCTCTAACATCTATAGCTTGGATCGCTGGTTGACAAATGGCACAACTTCACCGAAAATTAGATATAAGTTGTAAAACATGCCATTATTTTCCATTATGGATTAAGAAACTATGTTAATGGCAAATGTTACTAGAGTAAAGGTATTTTCGGTAAATATCGATTCTTGCCTTCCTAAAAATGAGTATAGTATTTCCTATTTGATGTGGCTCAGAATAATTTAAACTGATTACATTTAAAGGCGTATTTATGATGATGATATGAGTCCGTAACAGTTTTTGGAAACCTAATATTTTGTTAATATTGATAAACGACCCAAAGTGTGGTATTGCGACATAGTGCCCCCAAATGTCCTGGTACGGCCGAGAGTGTGGAGGGTCAGCTCTCCCTCTCCAAATGCTTTCACACGGCCACGTGCATACAATCATTGCCAGGGATGTCCTACTCACCGCCTTGTGGCGAGGGTGTTGTTTACGAAACTGAGGGGACGAAAAGCGAATGTCCGGCGCTTTAAACGGGTTGATGGATAAAGAGGATCCACGTAGAGGAGTTAGGAAACCCTCATTCCTCCTCGAAGATCCTAAGGAAACAGATGGCGGATGAATCAATTGTTGGTTGACGGCTACAATGAGACATTGCACCACTGTCTTGTAGATTAGACCTTTATTCAAAGGCTCGGGGTGTGGCCCTCAAAGAAAACCACCTGCTTCGGTTTGAGCACCCGATAGTATCCCTGCCCTCATATAAATCGAATGGTTTAAATGGCGCATATCTGTTTGGTGTCTCCTTGTACCAATGTTTATGTGTTTAAATAAATTAAATAAATAAATATACTGTCAACTTCATGGCTACACACTACTCAAGGCGAAGATTGTCCGGTGCTGAAAGAAACGATATTCAACCCTTTGACGTCCTTGAAAGCATTAGTTTGTCACATGAAGAACGGGAGAAAGTTTTGCTTTACAGTAACATTTGGAATATGAGGACGAAAATAAACGTACGTGTTACCCATATGTAAATATAAACAAAACAGAGATCAGTAATCTGAATGAATGCGTCATGCAAGCGAAATTAAAAAGCTGGTAATCCTTCGGGACAACGAAGATGACAAGTCGAGTATTTTTGTTCACAAAACGATATGAGTTTTATGGAAAGCCTTCAGGAGTCGCTGGTATCAATTCAGCGCATAAAGCGAACAAATTAGACATGTCAGATCCAAAATACTTGATAAAACTTTGAATGGATTTTGTATCAGTTTGTTGTAACTGGTAGCTTTGAAAGAAGACGATGTCAGCATTGATGCAAACTGAAAAACAAGTCAACATTAAAGAAATTGCGCAGTCTTTGAAGACGGTGATACTTCAAAGACAATCACTTTCACTGCTTATTGCACACTGGAACAACTTCGTACTATAAATGAAGAGTTTGGAACCGTTAGTTGCTTAGTGTTGATTAGATGTTCAGAGTTTGACACTATGTTTGCATAATGAGCCCGACTGATTGGTCAGCCGGTATCTGTAACCACAAATACCAGTCGAAAAGATCCTAGTGGACTATCCTCCCAAAACCGAATCACAATTTCAATGGGAAAGAGACAACTGAAGCCATACCTTAAAAAGTTACCAAGCCAGATATAATCGTAGTCACAGAAATCTGGCTGACGCAACCTATAGATAGTGTGGAACTTGAATTTGAGGGCTTTACATTAGTAAGAGCCGACAGAATCCAGAAGCGTAAAGAACGGGGAGTAGCTCTCTTCATTAGGAATGCTATCCCATTCACCATTATCGACAGTGTATCCCATGAGAAAGGGACATGTGAATCAATTAGCTGCCGCTTGAAGTGCAAAGGACAAGAGGTGCTGATTGGCTTGGTCTACTGCTAAACAGTCTCAACACTTGGTCACAAAGTAGTCGATATCTAATCCTAGGAGACTTTAATGCACCCATGGTAGACTGTAAAAATCTGCGAACTGAATTGTCAGATGATTCTTTCGAGCAGGAACTAATTGGTGCGGTTACCATATGTTCCCTGGTGCATCATATGACAGAAGTGACCAGGTGCGACCCGGACGCCGAATCAACCTTACTAGATCTTATATCGACCCATTATGAGGATGACGTTACGAACCTCGATTAAATGCCACCCCGAGGTAAAAGTGATCATTCAGTTCTAACCTTTGACTTCCACATAATTGTCCAAAACAAGCACGCGTCAGCTCAATCCAGACCTAACATGTAGATGTTATACACCCTGCATCGTCAATAGATTGGACAATAGAGCCAGAGTCCCCAATTGAAACGCCTTGGGACGTATTTCGAAATTTATACTTAAAAGTTACTGCACCCCACATCCCTTGGACTACACCAAGAGGGTTGAGGAACTCTCCACCATGGTTCAGTAGGGAGGTTCCCATCCTTCTCCGTGAGAAGAAAAATGTGGGATAGATTTAGGTTACTGGAGACTGATGAGACAAAATCTCAGTATCGAAAAGTTCGGAATAACTGTGTCTCGACTATCCGTAAGTCTTGAAGGTTGTACGAAGAAAAAATCGTCAAGGAATCCATAGAATGCCGTAAACCAAAGAACAAAAAGAAGAGAAAACATCCCAGCACTATGGGGACACAGTACTGCTTCATCATTAGTGGAGGACGACTTTGGTAAAGCTAAAGTATTCTCGAACTACCTTAGCAATGCATACATCGTAGAAACGCCCTTCCCGTCAGCTCATACAAATCCCCCCACACACACTGGACAATGTGACCATTAAAGAACTCGATGTCTTTGGTCTGCTAAATAAGCTCGACATATGGAAATCCATGAGACCCGATGAGCTGCATCCTAGGTTACTAAAGAAACTAGCTAGCTTCGTTGCGAACCCTTTAAATATATGCTTCAATCTATCCGTAACCCATGGTCATTTACCAAAAGACTGGAAGAACGCCATAGTAAGTCCTGTCTTCAAAACAGATACTAAACATAAACCTGAGAACTACCAACCCGCTAGCCCAACTAGTGTGGTGGTTAAAATTTTAGAAAGGACTATTCAGAAGGAACTGTTTAATTATTTCGATGAGAATTGGATCCTTTCGGAAAAGCAAGATGGTTTTAGAACAGGTTATTCCCGTCTCACTAACTTATTAGTGGCTCGTCAAAGCTGGTGCGCTCTCAAGGACCAAAAGTTACCTGTAGACGTAGCCTACATTGATTTCAGTAAAGCTTTTGACAATGTTCCGCACAACCGGCTGTTATGTAAGCTAAGGGATGTCGGGGATGGAGGCAATCTATTGATGTGGATAAAAGACTTCCTAGTTAGGCTCCAACAAAGAGTACGGGTGAACTAGAAGTTGTCTAACTGAGAAACCGTGCTTAGTGGAGTGCCTCAGGGTACAGTTGGGGGATCAGTGTTATTTATCTTGTATGTAAATGACCTTCCTCGTCTACTGTCATCACCGGTCTTGCTCTATGCCGACGATGTCAAGATATGGGGAGCGATACGAAGGGTGATAGCTTAGAACTCCAAAATGACCTGAAGAAATTATCTGAATAGTCACGAACCTGGCAGTTGCCGATAAATACTTCCAATTGTGTTGTGACGCATATCGGTCATCAGGGTACAGATACATACACGATGAATAACACTGAGCTACCTCCTGTTCAGACACAAAATGACTTAGGAGTCATCGTTATCCAAGACTTAAAGACTACTGCACACTGCCGTGCAATAGCCGCCAAAGATTTTAGAACTTTATAGTCAATACGTAGGGCCTTTAATCATATGGACGCTAAAACTTTTTTGACTTCGTATACAGTGTTCGTGCGTCCTAAACTTGAGTACTGCACACAAGCGGCTAGCCCCTGCTTTAAAAGGAAAATGAGTTTTTGGAAAAGGTTCACAGAACAGCAACTAAGCTGATTCCCGGAATAGCGAAGCTCCTGTATGATGCTCGACTGGCCAAGCTAAACCTATTCCCGTTGTCATATCGAAGAACTAGGGGTGACTCGACCACAGTTTTCAAATTGCTTGGTGATAAATTTGCACCTGATATGCCCTCATTTTTCTTGTCTTCCAAAACAAAGAATTTACGGCGACACTCCAAAAAAGTTCACAAGCCCAGAACAAATTACTTGTCAGCTGACTATCGACTTTCCTATCTAATTATCTACGAGTGGAATTCATTACCTCGTCATGTGGTTGAGGCTTCATTCGTCGACTCTTTCAAAAGACTGTTGGATCAACTGAGAGACCATCATTGCCAGGACAAGCATATGCCATTAAGCTTCCTGTTCTCTCCAATCTGAGACTGAAACATTAAATGACGATAAGCAAGATTGAATGTGGCCACATTTGATCTTTTCATTAAGTGTATGCAAGACAACTGAACGTCTTCCGAATAGTCCCGTCGCGATGGAAACTGTTTACAGACTCCCTAATTATATTTAAGTTTTTGGAAGTCTGAAGCCTATATTTTAACACCTGACACTATTTGGAGCAGGAAAGGTTGTTTTGGGTTGAGTGCCACTGACTCTGAATATAGTGGTTTTCTACTATCGACATACTCTTCACGCTGATTATCATCAATTTACTGGTACATAATGATCGGATTGGGCAGATAATATTCCACATACGTCGTAATTGCGACGTTAATACACCCCAGTAAATTGTCTTGATAAATGATCGATCTCTGGGAAACATGTGTAATACTGAACGCCAAAAACCAATTATGTACTAACTAAGTGCAGTTTACCTAAGCACTACGAAAGCCTGGCCCCATAACGTGGTTCATCTATGAATAAAGGAATGGGCCAAAAATATAAATGCGAATACGTTAAACCAAGGATTGAGTAGGAAAATTTAATTCTTTTCTAGAAGCTCCCCCCAGAACATTATTGATTGGGACGTATATAGTGTACCCTTTCACACAATCTCAAAATCAAGTCAACTATTTAGAACCTTAGCGTTACGCAAGGTTCAGATATACCGCTTATTCAATGGTAAGCTCTTAAGCATCTAAAAAGTCATAGCACAATTATCAAGGTTCAATTGCTTGTTGACGCAAAAGAAAAAGCTTTTGATTAACAGTATTCCTTACTCGGTATTACTAAATCACTGATCCCTCCAGATATGGTATTTCAGGAAGAACTGACTCGACTTCAAAGTTGGGCAGACGATAACGGACTTACCTTCAACACATCAAAGTGTAAAGTAGTCCATCTGCGACATGTAGCAGACTATAGTTAAAAATTAGAAAACTCCTCTCTAGTAGTATCCCAGATCGAAAAAGATTTAGGAATCCCGGTGCTCTACGGTTTAAAGTTTTACGCTTACTGTGACAAGAACGCCTTTTGAGCAAACCTTGCACTGGTAACATTGAGGCGCATTTTTGGCCAATTTGACGGAAGAACTTTCTACACAATCTTCACCAGCTTTATTCGTCCCCATTTAGTGTACCGAAACATAGTATTTCCTTCCTCACTCCAAAAGAATAAGGACACCTAGGTTCCTGCCTAGAGGTATTGGTGATCCACTGTTATTAGACACTGAAGCCTATTAAGCGAAAGTTTCTTCTATTCCGTCCACAACCATTTGAACCACTGAGATACATTAGACTATGAAAATGAAAATCTTTGTAAGTCATGTCGAAATGCTATCTTGAGACCCTCAGAATACGCCAAGATTTCCCTTAGAGGGCTCCTGAGTAGTTGCCTGAACCACATCAGGGAAATTAATTCCAAAGTTTGACTACTCGTAAGGAGTGCGCCTTCAGTTTTTTCTACTATGGTGTGTCTCCAATTTCTAGGTATGTACCCTGGGTCTTGTATCGGAAATGAGCATAATTAAGTGTTCAGTAGAGCATCCAGGAGTGCTTAGAATGGAATAAGTCACTAGAAGGCCACATTAATGACGCTTATACCCCAATAGTTAAATTTTCAGTAATCTGAGACGTTCATCATATGGTTTAAATTTGAGTCTCCGAACAGACTTCATAACTCACTGTTGGATACGTTCTAGTATATTTTTATCATTTTAGGGTGGGAGAAGAAACACCACATTTTTGTGCTCTAAATGGACTCGAATAAAACTGTTAAATAATAATAATATATTTCTGCATCAAGTTAAAAGTCCTACCATCGAACCGGCCAAAAATGCGCTTCAGGGTTTGCTCCGAAGGCATTTCTGTCGCGGTTGGCACAAGATCTCCTACATCTTTTTCAACCTATGGTACTTCTAGAGGATAACTGCCTAAGTTGTATATGTAGTCTGCAACATGTCTCAATTGTTGATGAAGAAGAATTTATAATTAAAATTAACTATTTAGTAAAGTAGAGCTATACGTAAATAAATGAGTAAATATGTTGACCGGATTTCATCACATCAGACCTATAGATTTAAAGATTATCTTGTTCTATTCGGTTTATGTTATGGTTGGGAGGAATCGATACTTGCGAAAACAAAAAGTCAATACTATCCTAGAAGGTCTTACATTTCAAGACACCATTATCACACTAACAAAATTTTGAATTCTTGACAAGAAACATTACTTATAGCGTCCGCTATGTATAAAATGTGAACGGAAGTATAGTGATGCTTTTAAATAAAGCATTTTTCAATTGAAGTCAATTATACTTTTTCAACCCTGATATTCTACATGTCGTTTTGAAATTGTCGAATCATGTCATCAATTGACTTAAGTCGGTAGGAGATTCCGACACTTAAAGATCCTGAGTTTAGTCTAGTGTGAAGTCGTGAGTTCGAACTGGCAGCAATAGAAAGTTCGTTCAATCCTTGGTGACATTTATTGTTTCTTCAGCTGATATCACCCAACTATGAAGCTATTGTCAAAACTAATTTGTGTTGACGTTTATGAAAGGTGAGTAGCTGTTGAAGAATGAGATCCACTATTGTAAAAAATATTCCATAAAATAACTACATGATCGACTTGGAGAAAAGTGTAGATGTCATCAGACGTTATCTCTACAGATGTAGTCACAATACGCAATGAACGAACCCATCTTTATCGATGTGATTGTGTGCTCACTCGAGTTAGACGGGGATAGTGTGACCAGCAACTAACTTTCAAGTCACACCTCACGGTCAGCACCTAATGTGGATTACTCTTTAGATATAGCAAGGAACGACGGCTGTTTTGAAGACCGCATAAAACAAAGGACGGTATTACAGATACATATCAGTTAGAGTAGGTCAGGCGAAAGTGTGAGCACCACCGCATAGGCCAGTTCATGGAGCACGTTTAATTAATGCGCGTTGGCTTTCCTTGAACTTGACGGGGATTGATGAGCC